GATCACATGCTCAAGAAGGACCATCAGCCTAACAATGGATCATTAGCGCACTTTAACTTTAGCACACTTTAGCACACCTAACCATTGTTAGGCTGATGGTCCTTCTTGAGCATGTGATCAGCTGGTTTTGGTTGTCAGCAGCAAACTGGTTGATCCACTCTGTGAAGGTGCTATTTAAGAGACTGAGCTGAATACAGCACCTCAGACTGAGGAAGTCTCTCGGATGAGAGACGAAACGTTTCTACATTTTTTTGTTGTTTTGCTTTGTTTTTGTTTTTTTTGAATGTCCAGAGGACCAGATTGAACTTTTTTAGATTTTTCTACCTGGATTATTGAGCATGCATCAGGTCATTCTTCTCATCTTCTCATGCTACGTTAAAAAAAGTAGAAGGACGATCTGGGCGTTTTTCTCTTTAACTGGGTTTGAAATACCCTTCACATTAATTGATTCTATCTTAATGTCCTACATATTCATACTTTTCTAATCTGATACCAGCACAGAAAACCTCTCCTACAGTATCCAGTTTCATAAAATGTATGCACAAACAAAATCTCTCCTTTAACACATGAATCAGACCAAACAAACAGTAAACAATATTAATATTATAATTGTGAAAATAAAACTAGACAGGTGTTTCCAAGGTAGAGGCTCTTATCAAAAGAGCCCTGCAGGACCTTGTGTAGTCCAGGTTCCAGCAGGGAAGTGACCCACCCCGTTGTGGAGGTGGGGCCCTAAATAATGTTCACACACTAGTAAAATTTGGTGATAAAAATACAATAAAAAACTTAGGCATGCTCATAATTCAACTGTCCTGACTCTTAATTTGAGAAACTAAAAAGAAGCATGAACACTTTAATTAGAATAACTGAATTCAAAAAAGCGTTCAATACAAAAACAACTGGACTTTATTTGTAACAGAAGACGTTTCGCTCCTCATCCGAGGAGCTTCCTCAATTCAAAGAGCAGAGAGTGAGAGATTCAGGTTATAAGGCTGAGTGAGATAAGACACACACACATATGTAGATTTGACGTCACACCTCAACACCTTACCATACCATACCAATTTATTTATATAGCACTTAAAACAGCAACAAGGCCAACCAAAGTGCTGTACAAAAGAACCAAACATGCACAGCAGACAGGAAAACATAAAAAAGAAATACAGATACAAATAGCAGCAGGAGCTAACTAAAATGGCCAACAGAGTAGAGAACAGACCGGACCAAAAC